TTTTAAAATTAAAATATTATAATTTTAATTTTTAAAGATTGATCATATATATATATTTTATTTTTACTTTAATAAAAAAATTAACAAATTTTGTTAATATAAGAGTTAAAATTTTTAAACTTTCAAGTTTAAAATTTTATAATATAAAATAAAGAAAAAAAACTTCAAATTTAATTAAGAAAAATGTTAGATATATACTTTACCCAGATTTTGAATCTAACATGACTTGTAAGAAGGTGTACTCTAACCCTTAGCTTATGCAGTGTTGAGGTCAATAACATATAATTCCCGATCTCTAAATTATTTACTTAATATTTTTAGTTAGTCCCTGAGCTTATACTAGAATTTCAATTGATCAAAATCTTTAATTTGGTGCAATTAGAGCTTAAACTTTTTGAATAATTCAAAGAGAAAGTTGAGGAACTCATTTTTAGCACTAGATTTTGTTTTACAGATTTTTAAGGTAGTAAATTACATGACAACAACAATTAGTCCAACAGTCTAATTTAGTTGTTTCAGTTTATCTATTTATGATTGGCAAGAAATTCATTTATTATAATTATTAAGATTTATCTTTTTATTTTCATCTTTACTTACAATTAAATCAAAAAATCCTAACTCATTTTTATCTCTTTTGATATACAATAAAATTAAAATTAGAAATATGTTTTTCAATATAAATTGCACTTTTTTGTGTAATCTGAGTACTAAAATGACCAAAATACCCTTAATCAAATGCACTCATTGTTGATTTATTAATGATGTTTTTGGTAATTTTAATAACCAAACTAAATAAAAAAAAGTGCAATTCATACTGAAAATCACCTTTCTCAATTGAAATATTAGTAGTGTTTACTAATATCTTATTAAAATGGAAATTGGGACAATTAAATCAAATAATTTTTATTTAAAAAATGAGACAAATAAATCAGATTATAGAGAGTCAGTAATTATTTTGTAATAATTAAGGTATTGTTTGGTTTAGCTGATAATGACAGCTTATGCTCCTTTCCTCCTAGAAATAATAGGCGTAGTTTGATTTCATCTTCAAATTAAGGATTTGGATACAATTTTTATTTTTACATATTTTACCCTAAAAAAAAGAAATAAAAAGAAAGAGACTTTTTTAAGATAGAATGGATAATTAAAGTCAAGAGAAAATAATAAGGCTAAAATAATAATAAAAAATTTGTTTCTCTTAGAATATAAATAAATAATTATTATTTTGAGACAATTTTAAATAAAAAATGTCTATTATTTTGGGATCAAGGAGTAGTTGTTTTTGCCTTAAACAATTAATTAAAGTATTTAGAAAATATAGTTGATTTCACATTACATATTAAATATTCCCTCTAATCAGATTTAGTTGCTCTACTTTATCCATTTACAATTACTAAAAAATTCATTTATTACAATACTTGAGACTAATCTTTCTGTTTTCACCCTTACTTATAATCTATATCTATATAAATATAAAAAATGCTACCCAATGCATTAAATAGAGTATGCATTTATATATAATAATTTATAAAGTAATAATATATATTTATTATTTATTATATAATTATTATATACAATTTATTTACCTTATCCTTTTCTTTTCTTTTATTATTAGTTTCTGTTACATGCATATTAAAT